GTTAGCAATGAATTCAGCATCATCCTTTAGCTTTGCCTTGTAAGAACTGAAGAAATTCGTAATACGACATGCTGGTTTCTGTCTTGTTCTCATGCAGATGTTGGAAAAACGAGAATCTGTTAGCACCACTGAAATCTCTGGAGAGGAAGAATACAGAAAGTAGAAATACAACTTATCATAAGCTAACATGTTGAGTACAAAAGTCACACAGCAACAACACAGAAAGTGCACAAAACGCAGTTTTCACAAATACACCTCTTTAACCAAGGCATCTCTCTTTTAAGCCATGTTGGCAAAATGTATGCCAAGATAATAGAAACAAGACTGAGACCAGTGATAGAACCACAGCTGGCAGAAGAAAAGATGGGATTTAGGAGAAAATAGAAGCTGCACAGATGCAATCTTCACACTTAAACAGTTAATAGAAAAGAACATTGAATACAATAAGAACTTATTTGTGGCATTCGTAGACCAGGAGAAGGCATTTGACAGAGTCGACAGACAATTATTATGGAAAATAATGGCAAGATAGGGAGTAAGCGAACAACTCATCGAAGTGTGCAGAAGTTTATACAGGGATTGTAGAAGTGTAGCCCATGAATGAAGATCTTAGTAAGATCAACGAATTACTCTTTGCAGATGACCAGGCCTTGATATCAGATACAGCCATGAAATTGCAACAACATCTAACATCAATGAATGAAGAATGTAAAACAAATAATATGAGAACCAACACTGAAAAGACAGAAGTAATGTCAAAAGGAAAAAAGAAGACAGATCTAAACATAGCAATAGAATACAAAGGCATTAAACAGGCATCTGAGTATAAATATCTGGAAACTACATTTACCGAAGATGGGAAATTGGATAAAGAAATTGACATTAGATGCAGTAAAGCAAACCAAGTATTGCGACAGCTAGCCCCCCCTCTTACAGCATAAGACAATCCCAATCAGCACAAAGAGACATCTTATTCAAAGCGTATTTATTCCAACTCTGTGCTACCAGTGCCAGACATGGTCACTCACAACAAACCATAAAAGAAAATTAGTAACCACGGAAATGAGATGTCTGAGAAGGGCTGTAGGAGTGACCATAAGAGATAAGATCAGGAATGAGATCATAAGAGAACAAGTCGGCACAGAACCAATTCTGGATTACATACAAAGACAGCAAGTGAAATGGTTTGCCCACTTAGAGAGAATGCCTTGTGACACCATACCATACAAAGCATACATGGAAAGAGAAGAAGGACTTAGAGCACGGGGTAGACCAAGAACAAGATGGAAGGATAACATCAGAGAAACTCTACAACAGCACGATGTGCCTATGGTCGAGGCAGCCAGAAGAGCTAGAAACAGAACCTTATATCTCCCTCGACACCCACAGCGGTAAAAGAGGAAGTGAAGAAGAAGAAGAACCAAGAAGACAATAAATACTGACATGCTAAAAGATCTGAACATCAAGGAAGATTAGCTAGTAGGCAGCACGTTGTCTTGGAAACTGATGAAATATTCTGGCCAAGTAAGGTGCCACAACGGATGGGAGGTGCCACAACGGATGGGAAAAAATAGCAGAAGGACTGGTACCAGTAAAGAGGGCCAATGGCTGACCAGTATGAGGATGGGAATAGGACACCTTGATTTGGGATTGAAAATACAGATAAAAATAATACGATCAAATAAAGTTATTGAACTCACGTTTCATTCATTACAGAATCAAGAAAACTCATCATCACTGTCAAAACTCTCATCTACATGATAGTTCTTTAGCTTGTCCGCATCTGTGTATGATGCTAAATTACTGTCTTCATTTATAACTTTATCCTCAGTCTCATCTCTGGCATTTGAAATGCCCCACTTCTTGAATGACTTGACAATGATCTCAATCTTCACACTGAGGATCTTTTCACCCAGGCACAAATGGGAAACAATGAGCATGAAGACAGGTGCAAAAACTATTTCAGCTGAAAAGAATTTATATAAAAAAAAAAAAAAAAGGCAATTTCATGCCGCCCCTGAACCAGCACTCTCAAAATCTCTGTACGGGACACTTTCTAACAAATATTTTGGTAACAGCTAACACCACAGTGTGAGATGCACACCGTTTTTAGACTATATTAAAGGGAAAAAAAAAAAAAAAAAGAAAACAAAAAAGGAGTAAACTTTACTTGGGGAAATACAGTAAGTGACACCATGGGTAGGAAATGCATGAGAGCTGGTGAAAGACTGAGTTTAGTTCAGGCAGACTATTATGACAGCAATGTTCCGCAAAGGACCTGCTAGGTGATGTTGACGATGATCCCCCTTTGTTTTACTGATGTTTTTAATGATCAGTTATGTGAAAGCTGCAGAGATGTGGTTGTAAAGAAGAATAATGAGAATCCCACTGGCAGGGGAGAATCCCACTGGCAGGGGAACATCAACCCCCTTCCCACTCAGAATAATGATGTCTTCAATGATTACAATATACTTCCACATGAAAATTAAGAATCATGAAGAGACAGTAAACAGACAAGAAGTAAAGAAAATATACTTCTTCTTTTCAAGTTTTGAATGCCTTTCAGCGTCAGGTTTTGAAGGGGCATCAGGGAGAGCCTTGGAATTGCTGGCATTTACAGCCTCAGATATTCAATCTATCCACCGCCTGCGTGGTTGACCTCTGGCCCTGTTTCCATTATGTCTCAGTGACTGGGCTTTCTGTGGTGTAGTGTCTGGTGGTAGCCTTGACACATGTCCAACTATTTGATTTCTTGATGTAGTTTAATACTGGTTCTGTCCGCAATTCTTTCCTGATATCGTCATTTCTGATTCTGTCTTTTCTAGTTACATGTAAGATTTGCTGTGGACATTTCATTTCTGTTGTTTTGATTTTTTCTTTTGTTTTTTGCTGTTAATGTTTGTTTTGAACAAAGAAGACACAAACAATAGATTGCACAATTTATTGCCTGGCATATTTTTCACATATTGACAGAAATTAGTACCAGCTCACTTTTAAAAGTGTTGTGTTGGGAAATGGGCAGGCAGATAGACTGGCCGGTTCTACACCGCATGGTGGTGAACTGATGTATGACAAGCTGGATGTTGTGAGAGCTCTTTGGGAGTGACTGAACAGAGCGAAGGCACGGATAGATCATTACGGTCTGGGGAGAATGGTGGCGCTGCGAGGAGTTCCAAGGGTATCTGGCTGGCACTCAACACTCAGGGGGAAAGGCGAGACAGATTCACAATCAGACAGTTACTGGTGCCATTGAAACTGGAACTCATCACTTGCTGCTGAAGATGGGGACAGAGCCTTATAGGGGTGTCCCGAGTGCTGTGATGTCGATTCTTAATTCAACATTTTTAAAGAAAACAAAATGTAAAGATATTTTTTTACATACTACTATTTTAGCTGTTTGAACATTAAAGGGCTTTAATAAACACTTCTTCTTTTGTATTCACCCCTAAAATGATGGCTGTTAAGTTGTGGTTTACAGCTAGGCTGCAATACCTGCTTCAGTTTACAACTTGCTTGCTAGGGCAATGGGTATATTCTCTCCCCACCTCCAAAATTAGACCTTGGAATCAACACAGGGATAACAGATACAAATGGGCATACTGTCTTGAAAAACCAACCTGATAACGGAGAAAGTAACTCCATGAGGTCTGGCATCCTTGAGGTAGCTGATAAAGCTTCGTATATTCCTGGAGGTCGGGTTGTCCAGCTCTGGCAGACTTTCCTGAACAAAGACAGAAACTAAGATCAGTTTTTGAAAAAAAAAATAAAAAATAAAAAGACAAGATAATGTAGCTCCTCTGACAATGATAGATGGTAGTTTCTCAAGATGTCATTCAAAGACAGTATTAGCTTGTTTTATGATTAGCATACATAGCGGACTGGCTGGTTTGATATGTTCCATAAGTACCAGGTATAAGACAAAGGCCATAAAGAGGGCAAATACGTGGTACAAGACAAAGGAAGAAAAGATGCGGTACAAGACAAAGGCCTTATAAACAGCAAATATGTGGTACTAGACAAGACAAAGGGAGAAAAGATGCAGTGCAAGACAAAGGCCTTATAAAGAGCAAATCTGTAGTACAAGACAAAGGAAGAAAAGATGCGGTACAAGACAAAGGCCTTATAAACAGCAAATATGTGGTACAAGACAAAGGGAGAAAAGACGCGGTACAAGACAAAGGCCTTATAAAGAGCAAATCTGTGGTACAAGACAAAGGAAGAAAAGATGCGGTACAAGACAAAGGAAGAAAAGATGCGGTACAAGACAAACGCTTGATAAAGAATAAACATGTGGTACAAGACAAAAGCCTTATAAAGAGCAAATCTGTGGTACAAGACAGAGGCTTGATAAAGAGTAAAAATGTAGCATATGACAAAGGCCTGATAAAAGCAAATTTGTGGTACAAGAAAAAGGTTTGATAAAATATAATACATGGTACAAAACAAGGGTCATAAAAAAAAAAAAAAAATGAAACAACAACCTTGTAAGGAGCAGATACAAGAAAAAGACCTTAAAAAAAAGAAATTACAAGACAAGTACCACATAAGGAACACCATCTCAGAACGGATTAAGTTCAAATTTGAAAGTACCACTGTAGTTAACAAAGGAAAAAAACAACCTTCAGAAATTAATGCCTTTTGCACTGCTTAAATTAATGCCTTTTGCACTGCTTACAAGATGACTTAAAAGACTCTGAACTCTAACATACCAAACTTACCATGCCATCAAGTATCGACAAGAAATCAGGTTTGCCGAAGACATCCTGGCACGTCTGATTTTCAATTTCACCTCCGACTAGCAAGTACATGCTCTCTCCTGTGTCCAGAAGAAAGAGTCCAGCATGGCTAAGACTAGCAGATGATAGTGGTAGTAATGGAGCACTTGGGATCACTTCTTTTCCATATTTTAGTGGTTTCTTTGAAAACAAAAACCCAGAAAATATCAAGCTTTCATTAGCCATTAACAAAGAAAACAACTAAAATAAAGGCTACTATTTGTTAACAGTGAAGCAAAAAAAAATTATGTCTCACTAAATGTTGAATGATAGAGAGAATATCAACTGTCTACTAACTTCTTCTTCATGTTCACCATTTGTAAACGCCAGCGGAAATTTCTGGTTGTTCGTCCATTTCTGGACTCTAGCCCTGTTCCAGAAACTGAACGTTGCACGCACATCTGTTTTACAGGTCTGACTCATCTGCATGCAGACTGTTGGTTCCTTGCCTCTCAGGCAGATGTACTCCGACTTTGAAAGGAAGCTCCCAATTAGTCGACTCTTACGAAATGCTTTTGGGCAGATAGTGGGTCTACTCTTGTATTACCCCACAATGGGGCCCTCCTGGAACCCACACGGGGATGTATACTAACCGTTAACAATGAATTGAAAAATATCAAGGCTTCACTCAGGGTTAAGAGTCAATAAGAAATTATCAAATCTACACTAATGGCTAACAGTGAACTAGAAAATATAGGGTCATGAACCAGAAAATTTGAAGTCTCACAAACTGTTAACAATGAACTAGAAAATATCAATCTTTACATACTGTTAACAGATTTCATTAATTTTTAACTGTGATAAACAAACAAAATATAAAGACTCCACTTTATGTTAACACTGAACAAGATAATTTTGAACCCTTTCACTGCTTTGGACGTAATTATATATTTGCCCCGTAGACTGCTGAGGACGTATTTCTGCGTCTCCCGTTTTCTGTGCCCTCACTGCTATGGACGTAAAAACACGATTCGGACTTTCCCTACAGACTGCTAAGGACCATAATTCTCAGGGGCCAAATGGCAATACACATTACCAAAGCCGGATCCAACTGACCCATTTACATATGATTAACAACCCTGTCATGTACATTTAGGGTTTTTTAGATGCGTTAAGGCATTATTTTGTTGATTTGTTTACCACCGAAGCTGTGAGCAAGATCAGGTGGCTAAGCTATCAACATTAACTGGATTTGAAATCGATCCCCCCAATGATACCTACTGATATGATGATCAAAATTAATTTTCTTCCATACTATCTAACAAACAATGCATGTGTCTAATCGCATTGTACAATCCTGGACCGAATTTCAAATATCAAGACTCCAGTCACTGTTAATAGTGAACAAAAATATCAAGACTCCACAAATTGTTAACAACAAACGACAACATATAAATAGAACATCAGTAATATTAACTCACTTCACTGCTCAGCTGATGCAGCGGGTAAAGGTGTGGCAGCAGTTTCTGAATGAGATACCCTACAGGTAACACTTTACATTGCTGCAAAGCAAACACTCGATCGTCTACTTTTGTATTGCCTGCTTGGCTGAAAGCAAGCTGAAAACACATGCAGTATTAAACTTCTAAAGCTGCACTATTTATATTTAGATATAAAAGACACATATTACAAACTAGTTGCATATCCTTGATAAGATGTAAACCAACCCCATATATGTTAGCTATTTGTGGCTTAAGTAGGCCATTTTATGTTGTTGTTGTTCATCCATCACAAGTGATGAAGACCACTTTCATCTAAAGTAATAATGATCAATAATTATGAGTACGAGGGTGGCTGATTAGTAGTAGCTGGATGAAAGTGACTTGGGCAAGGACTTGGATTTAAGTGAAGAAGAGCTGATCAATTCATCAACCTCACTCTCTCACCAATGTCTATCTTGGACAAATGGCAGAACAATGTCAAGACGATTGGCCATTTAATATTCAGTTGTTAGCCACTGTCGTTGTTAGCCATTGTCAAAAGAAATTAAAAGTAATACTAAACTTAAAATGTTTGATTCTTATGTCAAATCAGTTCTGCTTTATTGAGCGGAAACATGGAGAACAACTAGAACAATGACTAATAAATTTCATTAATTCTTCAACTGTTGCCTGCGCAGAATAGAGGGAATTAATGGTTATGTCAGAATCATTACTGTTGAGCTTCTGAAGAGAACTAAGCAAGTTCCAGGGGACCAAGAGGTGAAGAAACTACAAAACAGCTTGATGATCTGGACTTCGCTGATATTGCTCTTTTGTTCCATTCATGGAATCAGATACAAGATAAATTAAATATACTTGATGCCAGATCACAGCAGCTTGGTCTGAAAATCCATAAAGGAAAGACAAAGATAATGAGAATAAATCAGGCAAATAGTAATGTGGTTTCTCTTAATGGCGCCCCAACCCAAGACGTGGAGTCGTACACCTATTTAGGCAGTGATGTAGATAAAGATAAAGGAACTGAGAGATATTTAACTAAGAATACAAAAGGCAAGAGGGGCAACAGGAGAACAGCATAACTAGAATGTCTTTGCATTGGAACCCACAGAGGCATAGGAATAAAGGAAGGCCAAAAAACACATGGAGAAGAGAGCTGGAGAATGAAGTTAGAAAGATGGGGAGGGCATGGGGAGAGCTCCATGCAATGGCAAAGGATAGAACGACTTGGCGTGAGTTGGTTGAGGGCCTATGCTCCATTGGGGGATAGAAAGGCAGAAGAAGAAGAAGAAGAGGTGAAGAAAAGATGCTGGAGCTGGATAAGACACATTTTGAGAAAACCTGATAACAATACAACCAGAGTATCTTTGCACTAGAAACCCATAGGGGCATAGAAATAAAGGCCGAAAAAAACAAACACATGGAGAAGGCAGCTAGAGAGTACAGTTAAAAAGATGGGTAGGACATGGGGTGAGCAGCATGCAACAGCAAAGTATAAAATGACATGGAATGAGTTGGCTGAGAGCTATGCTCCATTGCGGGATACAAGGCAGAGGAAGAAGAAGAAGTTAGCTGCTGCTTTCTGAATGGTTTACTGCTCTAACATACTAAGAGAAAAAATACAATTTAGAATACAATCTGGAAAAAAATCGTGTACTATGCCCTACAACATCTGCTAAAATCAAAGTCGCTGTTTCGTAAGATCAAGATCAAAAGATATAAAATGCTGATAAGATAGAGCAGTTGTTTTATATGGCGCTGAAACGTAGAGCACAACTAAAAGAGTTGAAGCCAATTAACACACTTTCGAAAACAGAGACTTAGGACACATCATAGATGCAAATGAGGAGGAATGGAGAGTGAGAAGCAATGATGAAGTTCATAATCTGTTTAAATCACCATGATCACTGGTACCATGAGAGCCTATAGACTGAAATGGCTAAGGTATATTGAGAGAATGTCAGATACCTGAGTGGTTGAAAACTGTTTCACAAGGAAGCTGGATGGTTTCCTAGACCACAAGGCAGACCAAGAAGACAGTGGAGAGATAATGTCCAGACAGACCTGCAAACACTTGGTGTTACCAAATGGAAAGTGAAGGCCAACCAAAGAGATAATCAGAGGCGGGTGAAAACTGCAGCAATGAACCTCAAGGGCTCAGAATGCGGAAGAAGAAAAAGAAGAAAAAAAAAACAAAACAAAAAAAAATGATGATGAAAATGTAGAAGATGAAGAAGGGGTTTAAAAAAAAATTGTCAGGATGAACAAATGCAGAAGATGGTAAAAGTACAGAAAAAAAATGAAGAAAAAGATAACTTACATTTTTCAACACTGCCAACATTAACATCGGCATCAGTCGAAGTGAAAATGGAGCCACTAGTGCACCCACTCGCTGTGCTGCTGGAATCTGTTGAGCGTATGCTGAAAGGGCATCTACGGTTGCATTAATCATCGACTCACGAGCATCGCTCAATGAAGAGTTCAAGGACCGTCAACAGCTTATGGGCAAAAGAGCAAATATGCACAATTATTAATGATCATCAGTGCACATTAAATACATCATCATGTAAACGAAAAAAATCAGCTATCACTATTATGATTTTCCTCCCAGGTCGACCCAGCCTTGAGTGGGTACCAGGTGCAGTCATGGGAAGTAAAGGCAGTCAACAAGATGCTGACCACATCACCATCCAAGTGCCGATTGGTCCTTAAAATATAGGTCTAGCCCTACATGCCCAGAACGCCTAAAAATGTGGAAAAGGGTTAGTTTATTTATTATAGTTTCCTTTATCATTATACAACGAGAACTAAGATCTTCTTTTCCTCTCTATTCCCCAGAGAACCCCTTAACCAACCCATACCATCCGTTGCTATCACATGCAGTTCGACCAATGTCCTACCCATCTTTTCAAACTTGCTCCTCAGCGATATTTTTCAGGTGGTTTTTATTTTTGCTTGCCTTTATTTATATGCCCCAAATGCCAGGGGAGCATAAAGATTTTCTAACTATGTTGTTATCAGATTTTCTTAACATATACTGTTCTCACATTTTCTCAAAGCGTGTTCTATCCAAGACCAGCATCTTTTCCTCAGATCTTGATTCATTAGAATTTATGTTATTTTCTCCTAAAGTTCCAAATGAATGATTTTATCATACCATTTGATTAACTCTATTCTGCACATGCAGCAGTTTATGAATGTTAACATAGCTATTATAGCTACCTTCATTGTGGTTCAAGAACTTTACATTTAAAATGTTCTCATCATTACTGTTTTAGTTATTATGGTCTTCTTAACATAGGATTCGTAGCCAAATTTACCAATCAATTTCAAGGCTTTTCAAGGTTCTTAGTTTTTTTCAAAAGAAGAAATATCCAACAGATACAGAAAGCCAAGAGAAGATATCCCCAACAAACACAGAGAGCCAAGAGAAGAAATCCCAAAAGACAAAGAGAGCCAACAGAAGACATACCCAACAGACAAAGACAGCCAAAAGAAGACATACCCAAAGGACACAGTAAACTAAGAGAAGAAATAGCCAACAGACACAGAAAGCCAGGAGAAGACAAATCCAACAGACACAGAAAGCCAGGAGAAGACAAATCCAACAGGCACAGAAAGCCAAGAGAAGAAATATCCAAGAGAGACAGAAAGCCAAGAGAAGACTACCCAAAAGACACAGAAAGCAAAAAGAAGAAATACCCAACAGACACAGAAAGCCAAAAGAAGAAATACCCAAAAGACACAGAAAGCCAAAAGAAGAAATATCCAACTGACACAGAAAGCCAAGAGAAGACTACCCAAAAGACACAGAAAGCAAAAAGAAGAAATACCCAACAGAGACAGAAAGCCAAGAGAAGACATACCCAATAGACAAAGAAACCCCAAAGAAGACATACCCAAAAGAGGAAGCCAAAAGAAGACATACCCAACAGACACAAAAAGCCAAGAGAAGACATACCCAACAGAGAGAGAAAGCCAAGAGAAAACATTCCCAACAGAAAGTAAAAGCCAAGAGAAGACATATCCAACAGAGAAAGCCAAAAGAAGAAATACCTAACAGACACAGAAAGCTAAGAGAAGACATACCCAATAGACACAGAAAGCCAAAAGTAGACATACCCAATAGAGAAAGCCAAAAGAAGAAATACCTTACAGACACAGAAAGCCAAGAGAAGACATACCCAACAGACACAGAAAGCTAAGAGAAGACATACCCAACAGACACAGAAAGCTAAGAGAAGACATATGGGTACAATAATTTTAACTTACTCCATGATGTCACGATGACGTCACAGGAGACATTCAAATAATTTCCAGGGTGGTAAGGTTGGGTTATTTCTCCCTTCGAGAGTGTATCGCAAAAGCGCATGCTTGTTGGGGCCTCTTATGACGTGTGTTTACTGCACGTCAGCAGTCTTCATCTTTGCCACGTCTGGTTGCAGCAGTTTTCATCTTTGTTTGCCATTCGTTCCAGCCATGACTCTTTTATAATTAGTAGCATCTGTACCAGATAAGGAGACCTGCATTGCCTTCCTGCAACAGCATAGCATTCTGCACAGAACGAGATGTTGCCGAAACAACCATCAGATAGATCGCTGTCAGAAAAACACACGACCGTTTGCCGGTGTAGAAAGTCCACAAGTCGCCTGGGCATACCCGTACCGCAAATTGCGGACCTCTTTCCGGGTACTATACTGCAACCGCCGAGAGTATTCCCCGCGCCGCTAAGCGCAGCGTGGAGCTAACTAGATGGCTGGGACTCACGAGCAGCAGCTACCGCACCTCCTGCAGCTTCCTCCATTTTGTTTGCTCATGGGTCCCAGCCATCTACGCGCGGCATGAGCGATACTCTTGGTGATCTCGGTATAGTAGAAAGAAAAATGTCCACAATTTACATGTGACTGAGGCCCTATTAAGGTTTATTTTCGGCAGCTGTAATTTGAGACTGTTATTTGGAGGATAGCCTAAAAAGACAATTTATATTTAATTTAATAATAAAAAAAAAAGTCACGTCGGGATTGAACGCAAACTTTTCATTTATAAGTCGGATATGATAACATATTCATATGACAAAATGTTATAAAAACATGACCAGTTTTGAACACCGGGCAACTGCGCATCAACAAGCAGCTGATTGCGCACCAACAGACAGATATATGCCACACCAAAAGACACTAGAAGAGAAACAACAGCAACAGCACCCTTCACCCCTTGAAATAGTGGACTGTCCAGTCAGCTGTGGAATTCCCGGGATTCCCTCTGTTCTGGGTACATAAAAAAAATATTGTACCGACATACCCAACAGACACAGAAAGCCAAGAGAATATATACCAAAAGGAACAGAAAGCCAAGAGAAGACACACCCATTAGATACAGAAAACCGAGAGAAGACATACCCATTTTTGCTAGCAAAGCAGCCACAGCGAGCTGGTCAGCTGAGACGAAGATCTCACTCAGCTGTTCCGTCACAGGTAAACACAATGTGTGCACCCTTATCCTGCGCTCACCTAGTTAGAACAGAAGAACAACCTTGAGTATTTAATATATCCTTTTAAAAAAAAAGCTTAGCGTCTGAGAAGAAGCATACTAAACAGGTGTAATGATAACAACGGTTCTGAAAAACCATGCTCTAATTTTGGGAATCTTTTCTTATGTCAACCGATCTTGCGAGTCACACTCATCATCGCCATGGGCTGTGATTCTTATGCCTCCCTATAGCACAGTATAACACCATCCTCTGGAAAGATGGAAAAGTAAAAACAGTCAAACCCCTGAAGGCAACATGTGCTTTCACCCACCATGCAGGGAGTTATCAGGGGATCTGGCCGATGCTCAACACTCAAAGGAAAGGCGAGATGGATGTACAATCAGTTACTGGTACCATCAGAACTGGAACTCTTAGCTTGCTGCTGAAAATGGGGACTGAGCACTTATGAGAGTGTTCCCGAGTGTTGTAATGTTGATTCTTAATTCAACAGGGAATGAGAACAGCTAGTGTAATGAAACAAGTGCTAGACTGCAAACTGTTTCTCCCTAAAATGTTTAACTCTTTTAATCCAAGAGGGAGATCACTTTAACTCATTATATTTTAAACATTTGTCAGTTCAAGCCAAACTTTCCAAGGTCAAAAGGGTTAAAATAATAACAAAATGGGTAAAATGAGTTAAAGTTAAAACTAGGAAATAATGGATTGATCCAACATAAGCTGGATAAGGAATAGTTAAAAAGTAAAGTACCCTTTTCCACGTCTTCAGGCGCACTGGGCATTGAGGGCTAGACCTATATTTTATAGACCAGTTGACACTTGGTGGGTGATGTGGTCAGCATTATGGTGGCCGCATTTACTTCCCAGGACTTGTAACGTGGACTTGTATTTCTAGTAATTCCCCCTGGTCTCTGGGTAGTGCGATTGGATGCCCGTGTGCATTGTTGTGCACGTAAAAAAATCCCTTGGCAGTTGGAAATTGAAAGGGTAGCCTATCGGCGCTGCCTGTGCAAAATTTGGAGTTAAAAATCTAACCAAAGTATTTCAGGATCTTTGCTGGTGCTACAGAGCCTGTGCACTGTTGCGCACGTAAAAAATCCCTTGGCAGTTGGAAATTGAAAAGGGTAGCCTAGCTGCGCTGCCTGGGCAAACTTTGGAGTTAAAAATCTACCCAAAGTATTTCAGGATCCTTGCTGGTGCTACAGAGCCTGTGCACTTTGCTGAGCTTCTTCCTATTTGAACTTGAGTCAGAAGAAGAACAGAGCACTTATGGGTTACTACCCGTGTGCCATGATGTTGATCCGTTGTTCAAACTTCAAACTTTTGCCCTTGGTAAAATATTCACTTCTTACAGCTCCAGGCTCCACCCTGTCCATCAGCCTGGCAGGGTACAGAGTTATGCCTATTGCCATATTGGTCTTTGTGATGGGTGGTGCACCTGGCCTTGATGACGCTGCTTCTGTCACATAAAGAGTAACAAGTAAGCAAACTGTAAGCTGTTTGGTAAGGAAAGAGATAACAGTAAAAGTTGGAATATGATGATGATCACTGTTACTGAATTTTCTTTCTTTTTTTTTTTTAACCACGTTTAACCTTGATGAAGACAACTTCAGTTATAATTATGTTGTGTTTTTATTTGCACCAAGTTCAATGGCTTAAAATGGTCATTGTGTCAGTAATTGTGGCTTACTGATGATGATGACGAAGATGACGAACATGAAGATGATGGCAACACAATAGACATGAGAAGAAGCTGACATGGTCGAGGTTGTCTTCAATAGAAATCTGCATGCCAAACCCGGCATCAGGGTTGATGTTGGGCAGCGACAGCAGGTCAGTAGACCTCACAAAGAAGTTTCCATGGAATGTGTGGATGCTCAACCCTGCAGTGGAGATATGATTTGTCAGAGAACTCATCTGGTGGTTCAGAGTTTAAGTCTAGGTAACATAGGGGTTGGATCAGACAGTTTTTCAAGTGAAGGTAATGTGGGGATCATTGTTCGCTGATTCAGTGCAGGTTAAAATATGTCTGAGTGTGTGTTTTAAACATCAGTGTGTTCAAATAAAGATGATCCTACAATAGGTCCAGCAAACTGGTAGGGGAATATTATTTGTTCAACTGATATTGCTAGAGCATTATGGAGAAAATTAAAGGAAAAGCGTGAAAGATCGGAAACACATAACGTATCAAAAAAGTGAACAACAGCTACAGCCAAAAGCAAATGTGAAATATTCAGTACTTGGAATGTTAGAGGACTAGGAAATAAAGAACCAGAACTAACTGAATTCATGAAGAAATCAAACATCCACATATTGGAATTAGCTTATATGAGAAAATAGGAAGTAAAAAGGATGAAGTCGGCCAGGACGCCCACAAGAAACCCTGAGATGAATGTTGAAGAGCTGCCAAAGCTGCAGGACTGGATTCCATCCATGATATTGAACTGATTGCACATGATAGAAGGGAATGGAGGAATAGACTGCGAGTTCTATGTGACATATAATGGCACAACCGGATAATGAATGAACGTGGTGACTGGGTGTGGTCAGTGTTCAAGTCAAGGTAATGTGGTGACTGGGTGGGTCAGTGTTTAAGTCAAGGTAGTGTGGTGATTGGGTGTGGTCAGTGTTTAAGTCAGGGTAATGTGGTGACTGGGTGGGTCAGTGTTTAAGTCAAGGTAATGTGGTGACAGGTGGGTCAGTGTTTAAGTCAAGGTAGTGTGGTGATTGGGTGTGGTCAGTGTTTAAGTCAAGGTAATGTGGTGACTGGGTGGGTCAGTGTTTAAGCCAAGGTAATGTGGTGACCGGGTGGGTCAGTGTTTAAGCCAAGGTAATGTGGTGACCGGGTGGGTCAGTGTTTAAGTCAAGGTAATGTGGTGACAGGTGGATCAGTGTTTAAATCAAGGTAATGTGGTGGTTTGGTGGGTCAGTGTTTAAGTCCAAATGTAATGTCAGTGTGATTAAGTCAAATCAGTGTTTAAAGGTGGATCAGTGTTTAAATCAAGGTAATGTGGTGGTTTGGTGGGTCAGTGTTTAAGTCAAGGTAATGTGGTGACTGGGTGGGTCAGTTTGTGATTAAGTCAAAGAAATATATGGTTGGGTGGGTCTGTGTTTAAGTCAAAATAATACAGAGTTGGGTGGGTCAGTGCTTGACTCAAAGTAATCCAAGACAACATGGATGGGGCTTCACTGTAAGGTAAAAGAAATCTGTTGAATGTCTGGTGAAGAAGAAGAGGAGGAGGAGGAAGAAGAAAAAAAAGAAGAGAAAGATAAAGTGGAAATGAAAAAAAAAAAGAAACTGAAAGAGGAAGATAAGAGGAAGAAAGAGAAAAAAGAAGATGAAGAAGAACAACAACTTTATTTTAAGACATATTTTGTTACAAGCAAGGGAAACTAAGCGATTTTTAACAAGATAAAAATGATAAAACTATCAATAAACTAACCTCTTGTGCACCGAATTCTCATCACAGATTCAAAGCCAATCTTCCTGGTCAGGTATCTGCGAAGATCTGTACTGAACTTCTCCGCCAATCCTGGATTCTTCAGTGTGTGAAATGAAGGGTAGTAATAGACACATCCAGCAGTGTACTTAGAAATGCAAGCTGTGACAGAAAAAGAATCAATGATTACAAACAGACAATAACAACATCAACCAATAAGTAACACTAGCACTACACTTAAAACATTGAGCTCTAATGTCAAATTAGTACCGCTGTATTAAGATGAAACATGGAGAACGAAAACCAATTGAATGCCTTCACAAAATTAATATTAAACAGAACAAGACTTGAGCTCTACTGTATGGTACAGAAACCTGGACAATGAACAAGCCACTAGAAATTCTAAAAGGGGATTAAACTACAATATTTAACTAGTTCCTGTGCAGAACAGAGTAAATTAATGGTACACAAAATTTTTATTGAGAAGCTCTGGGAAAGAATTAAACAAAACAAAAAAGTGAATTGAGAGGCGAGGCAAGATGCTGGCGTTTGATAGCCCCATTGGGTGATAAAGAGCTGAACAATAACAACAGACTAACACCAAAACAACAATAACAAGCGAACACCTAACAATATCATCAGACTAATAAAAAAAAAAGAATAATAGACTAACACCAAACAATAACACCTAACAATATCATCAGACTAATACAAAAATAAGAATAATAGACTAACACCAGACAGTAACAACCAACAAACACCAAACAATAGCAACAGACCAACACCAAACAATAACACCTAACAATATCATCAGACTAATACACAAATAAGAATAATAGACTAACACAAAACAATCACATCTAACACTATCATCAGACTAATACAAAAATAAGAATAACAGACTAACACCAGACAGTAACAACCAACAAACACCAAACAATAACAACAGATCAACACCAAACAATAGCAACAGACCAACACCAAACAATAACAACAGACTAACCACAAATAATAACAAGAGACTAACATTAATTGATAACAAAAAACTAAAAACAAACAGTAACAACAGATTAACAATAAATAATAGCAACAGACCAACACCAAACAATAACAACAGACTAACCACAAATAATAACAAGAGACTAACATTAATTGATAACAAAAAACTAAAAACAAACAGTAACAACAGATTAACAATAAATAATAGCAACAGACCAACACCAAACAATAACAACAGACTAACCACAAATAATAACAAGAGACTAACATTAATTGATAACAAAAAACTAAAAACAAACAGTAACAACAGATTAACAATAAATAATAGCAACAGACCAACACCAAACAATAACAACAGACTAACCACAAATAATAACAAGAGACTAACATTAATTGATAACAAAAAACTAAAAACAAACAGTAACAACAGATTAACAATAAATAATAGCAACAGACCAACACCAAACAATAACAACAGACTAACCACAAATAATAACAAGAGACTAACATTAATTGATAACAAAAAACTAAAAACAAACAGTAACAACAGATTAACAATAAATAATAACAAACATAAGTAAGGGGAAAAAAACCCAACACTACACGATAATACCCACAAGTAAAAAATATATGCTCAATAACACTATGACATAAAACAGTCTGGTATCAAGTAAGACACCATGACATAAAACAGTATGGTATCAAGTAAGACACCATGACATAAAACAGTCTGGTATCAAGTAAGACACCATGACATAAAACAGTCTGGTATCAAGTAAGACACCATGACATAAAACAGTATGGTATCAAGTAAGACACCATGACATAAAACAGTATGGTATCAAGTAAGACACCATGACATAAAACAGACTGGTATCAAGTAAGACACCATGACATAAAACAGTATGGTATCAAGTAAGACACCATGACATAAAACAGACTGGTATCAAGTAAGACACCATGACATAAAACAGTCTGGTATCAAGTAAGACACCATGACATAAAACAGTATGGTATCAAGTAAGACACCATGACATAAAACAGTATGGTATCAAGTAAGACACCATGACATAAAACAGACTGGTATCAAGTAAGACACCATGACATAAAACAGTATAGTATCAAGTAAGACACCATGACATAAAACAGTATAGTATCAAGTAAGACACCATGACATAAAACAGTATGGTATCAAGTAAGACACCATGACATAAAACAGACTGGTATCAAGTAAGACACCATGACATAAAACAGTCTGGTATCAAGTAAGACACCATGACATAAAACAGTATGGTATCAGGTAAGACACTATGACATAAAACAGTCTGGTATCAAGTAAGACACCATGACATAAAACAGTATGGTATCAAGTAAGACACCATGACATAAAACAGTATGGTATCAAGTAAGACACCATGACATAAAACAGTCTGGTATCAAGTAAGACACCATGACATAAAACAGTCTGGTATCAAGTAAGACACCATGACATAAAACAGACTGGTATCAAGTAAGACACCATGACATAAAACAGTATGGTATCAAGTAAGACACCATGACATAAAACAGTATGGTATCAAGTAAGACAAGGAAGACGGTGCTATGTTAGACACATCCTGAGAAGAAGTGAGCAGAGATTCACCAGACAGGCACTGAGATGGGAAAACAAATGGACTATGGAAACGAGGTTGCCCAAGAGAAACATCAAGAGCAATGGTTTGAGGTTTGAACGGATCAACATCATAGCACACAAATATAATAATATTCTCTATTGTCCTTTTCAGGATGAAATTTTTTTTTTGAAGCTCCACCCTGGCTTTTGCCGGGGGCCGCAATATAAGCAGGCCATAAATATGGCCAAATGGCTGAACGCGGTTTCTGGGACCTCTCCACGGCGATCCTCATCCGCATGGTGGCACTTTGTGTCATCAGGTGTTTATCGCTTGTGTGATGTCCTGGTGGAGTAGAAAGTCAGTCAGTCAGTCAGTCATCATGGCACACAGGTTGTAACCCATAAGTGCTCCGTTCTTTCTTCTAACTCAAGTTTGAATCTGAAGAAGCTCAGCGCAGTGCACAGGCTCTGTAGCACCGGCGAGGATCCTGAAATAGACCAGAAGGAATGCCGATCACCATCACAAACTCACATAATGTGGCTATGTCTGCATACTGTCCATTCAACATGAAAAGATCTACTGCTATCTGATGTTTAGAGTAATCCAGGGCCAGTTTCTTGTAGAAGTCAGTAGCAGGACCAATGTTAGCTACATTCTGAAACCAGAAATATTTCTGCTTAAAATGAGACATTTGGGAGTAAAGATCGGATTGGCTAGGTGAGGTAATGGCAGCACCCCAGACTTATACGAGAGGTTTGCCCAGCAGCACATGACTGGCATTGTAAGCCACATGATATAGGTGTATGTATGTAGCACCTCTGGCGATGTCTGGAATGCCATAAGGAAAACTCAATTCATTCACACTTTGTTTCTGTAAAGAATTTACATGGAAAAAGTAAACGTAAAGGACCCTTTTCCAACACCTTCAGTTGTACTGGGCATACAGGGCTAGACCTATATTTTAGAGACCAATCGGCAGGTAGGTGATGTGGTCAGCATCGCGCCAGCCGCCTTTACTTCCTGGAACTCAACCTGGTACCCATTCAAGGCAGGGTCAACCTGGGTGCCAAGATCCCCCCCCTTTTTTAAGCCTGGGACCGCCAGGACCTAAACCCCCAACATTCCAATCCACAGGTGAGCATCTAGCCACCACACCATGGCAGCTCCCTGAATTTAAATGAGAACACAATTAATGCCTGGCGTACTCCCCTGTATCTTGTCAAGGGCAAACTAAAGAATTTATATTAATTATTGCTATATGAACTATATGATTAGCTACTTAAGTTAAAAGCATTCATTTGTATGCTTTATTAGATGTTGATGTCAATTCTTCTTCTTCTTCTGTTCAAACTTAAAAGGACAACTGGCATGTTTGTTTGCTTGTCAGAGCTTCCCTAAAAGACCTGCTGTCATCCAAAGGCTAAAAACCTGGTCTGCCCTGCCATAACATTAAGCTTTCAAGTTGCATTTCTCCATTCTAGGATAAGGCTAATATCCTCTCCAATTCGCTCCTCTGCCTGAAGCTGCTGGCACAGAGGGGATATCAGACACTGCCCAACATTCCGTGTGAATAAGGAGCAGGTAGTACTGGCTACTGTTAAAGAATATCTGACCAATACTAGTAGGGGGAAAAACACATCTGCCTCTTGCAGTCTACCAGGTCAACCACGTCTCTGTGGCCTCTATTCTACAGGGAAATCACATCTGTGTGGCCTCTATTCTACAGTTAAACCACATCTCTGTAGCCTCTATTCTACAGGGAAATCACATCTGTGTGGTCTCTATTCTACAGGGAAATCACATCTGTGTGGCCTCTATTCTACAGATAAACCACATCTTTGTGGCCCTTATTCTATAGTGAAAAAACCTCTGTGGCCTTTATTCTGTGGTGAAAGCGCATCTGTGTGGTCTCTATTCTACAGGAAAATCACATATGTGTGGCCTCTATTTTACAGTGGAATCACATCTCTATGGCCTCTATTCTACAAGAAAATAACATCTGTGTGGCCTCTATTCTAAAAAAAATTTGTGGACCCACATCTCTGTGGTCTCTACTCAACATTGGAGTAACAATTACAGATAACCTTCTTCTTCTTATAGTCCATGCTGTATGGTGTTAGTAGTCATGTCCATCCACAACCTTCTTTTAGTCCACGATATGTGGCACTGGCAGTCATGTCTGCCTACAACTTTCTTTTTATAGACCATGCTGTAATGCATTGGTCTATCCATAATCGTCTGTCTCTGGCACTTCGAATCGTGTAAAGATAATCTTATGTGATCACAAACTTCATTGATTAACATATTTAAAGCTCTCAAATTTGAATCTTTTTTTTCCATTTACCTTTCCTGAGGTGTTTCCAGTATCTCTGTTTTGAAGAGCTCCTGGCCCAATAGTAGGTAAGCAAGTCTGCATGACTGTCATCCTTCCACCTGTAAGACTCTACAAAAACAATAACAGCATATACTGAATGATCACACTACACAAATACATAATTAGTGGAATGATAAACTATAAAAACAATAACACAATCTACTATACAAGCAATAATGCAATTTACTTGACCACAAACTATAAGTAAAGTAAAAGTAAAGATCCCTTCTCACACCTTTAGGCTCACTAGGCATATGGGAAGAGCACCCATATTTTTACAGACCAATCAGCACTAGGTGGGTAATGTGGTCAGCATTATGCCGACCATAAACTATACAAACAATCACACAATCAACATAATAATAAACTATTTAAACAAACATCACAAAAAATAATAAACTATTTAAACAACACAATTTACTTATTGACCCTACTACTCAAACAATAACATAATCTACTGGATGATGATCATGCTAAACAAATAACCATCTATTTAATTCGATTTAACATTCAGAAAATGCAAGGGTATGGAAATGTAATAAAATCAAGCGGCCTCTCTAAAAACAATACGATAGGGTTCAGTAGAGGGAAAAAGGCAGACCAGGAGAGAGCTGGATACAGAAACTGACTGATTGACTGGAAAGGCCTTTGGCATGCAATCATAAAGTCAGTTGCCTCTGACCGTCAAAGATGGAGGAATCAATAGCAACTGGTGACCCAAGAATATGCACTGTTATGGGATGATGATGATGATTATGATATTATTTAATAAACAGCTTTTAAAAGCCTGAACAAAATATGGAATTTTAGAATTTAAAGTATTAAAACCCAAATTTAAATGCTATTTTAGTTTTAAAATTTGCTTGTGAAATATATAATGAAGGTTAAATGCATGTGAAACAAATGCCTGGAAAAAAATCATGAACATAAAATGGGAGAAATTTAAGAAGGGTGAAGAAAAAAAGAGAAATATCAGCGCAACTGCTGGTACCAACAGTTATAAGACAGAGAAGATGGTGATGCTATATTGGGCACATTCTGAGAAGAAATGTGCAGAGAATCAAGCAGTAGCTAAAATAGGAAATGGATTGAGAAAGCGAGGATGCCCAAGAGAAACTCCAAGGTGAACTCTGATGAGAGAAACCAAGGGTGCTCGCCTGGATTCCATTCATGATATCAAAGTGATTGCACCGGATAGAGTGGAATGGAGGGCAACACCGGATGAACTGATAGTCTGGACACTGCCTTGAAATTAGAGAACATGGAATACACTTTATCCACTGTTACCCCACGGTCAGCACGACTGATGTCATCAACTTTAATGTTGTGTGTGGTAACTTGGTGGACGGATGGCCAGGACACTTTGCATCAGCCACAGAGGATTGACCTACTTCAGCTTCATCACAACGATGTACCCAGCATCGGACAGTGCTAATATCCCCTGCTGAATTTCCATAAACATTCTTCAAACATTCGTGAATGCAAACTGGGTTCTCACCTTCAGCATTTAAGAATTCTATGATGTTACGGTGTTTCAGCCGAACATTTTTGGAAGCTATTTTAAAACCATTATAGTGGTGCCACCTGTTACTGAAACAGGCTGGTAATGTTATGCACTGCAGAGTTTTTGAGGAAGGGTGTTAAACTGACAAACTGCACACTGAGACAGTATTTACATAGATAACAATTTGGAGGAATTACTTTTCTGACAGTCCCGTTTAAAACCAAAAAAAATCTTATCATAAAAAAAATAAATTATCACAGCTTGTTTGATTCTCGCATGCACGCGCGCACACACATACAAACTAAAATCTTTAACGGTACTATGATGTTCATGAACTGTGCTGAAATTCTCCTTGTCTGACCTATGTGAAGAGACTGAAGTACTTTTGGAGATATCTGAGTGCAATGAAAGTGATCGCTTACAATCTCATCCATCTAACGTGCTTACCATAAGCTTGAGACCAGACTGCAGGGCTGCTCCTAGAGCACTACCAGTCTCAAAGTTCCCTTCAAACAACTTTGGCAGCTGCTTCAGAAGCTCCACCACAAGTTCCTTGCTCTCATGCAGATTCACTAGCAGACTGTCTGGGCTCGGCAAAAATGGGTCTACAAGTTTTGGCAGACAAACATACAACATTAAAATAACAGAACAACTAATACCAGTTTGCTGATTATATGAACATATTAATGACAATAAACATCCACGTCTGAAGAGCTCTACATAGCAAAATGAAGCATGGACAGTTGGTACATTAGCAAAAAAATTATGTGAAAGATGTAGAAACCTGGTTTTGTATAAAAATAGTGAGAACATCATGGACAGATAGAAAGTAGTTTTATAGGCATAGATGCCACTGCTCAAAGATATCATGTCCCCAAAACTCATAAAAGTCGGAAAATCGACTCTTTCTTGGCGACAAGATTAAAGTAAGTAAAGTAAGGACCATTTTCATGCCTTTTGTGTATCATACAGTTGCTCAATGGGGTCAACCTCACTCCAACCACCGCTATCTGCCAGGAATGACTTAGTAATCATTGAAAGTTGGGTAAACCTGCAAGCCAAGCTGAATTTGAAAGGCAAAAAAAAAAAAAAAAAAAAAAAGAAAAACTCATTTCAATGAAGAATTGAACTCTAGATCTTCGGATCGGCAGGTGAGCATCAAGCCACTATGCTACTGTGCAGAGCTCTTGTTCCAGTATTGACATTATAATACATAACCATAGACTTTTAACAATGTTAAATCTTTACATTGCTATCCTCCTTTTGATCTTAGTAGACTGCATGATAAGATTTAAAAAAGACAGTAGATATAACAGATACTGTTCATGAACTATGATATGTGCACACGTGTATCAAAAAAAAAAAAAGCATATCATTCTGTTATCTGTGAATCTACTAGTATTTAAGTAAGGACTTTAAATAAATATTCTGTAAGCAGTACAAATATTCAGTAGAAATAAAGTGAGCAAATAAGGAAACCTTTCAGCTTTGTAACAGTAAAAAAAAAAGTGTGTGTGTGTGGGGGGGGGCGGGGGGAATGCCAATTGGCACTCAATGAGTGATGAGGTCAATATTACATCATCAGTCTTTACTTTCTAGGACATTTTCTGGTATCCACTTCAGGGTAAGTTGACGTTGGAAAAGGAGAGTGGGGGGGGGGGGGGGGGGTGGGGGGGGGGGGGGGGGGGGTAATATTTCATAAGTGGCGACTAATTCGGAGCTTGCTGAAATCGGATGTGGGCTGTAAGGCACAGATATCACAGCCAAGCTGTAAACCAATTCATGACTAGCCAACCTCCCTTTTAGGTGTGAATGCAGCAGAAAAAGAAGTTCCCAAGACTTCTGCATCAATAAGCAAGCATCTAGACACTGCCCTAAGGTAACCAACTTACAAATTGTAATTTACTTCTTCTCACGGATCCTACCTTCTAATTCTGGAACACACAACATTTGTGGCCGGGACAAATTGTCTGCCAGGTTGAAATAATACAGAGATTTGTCGTAACATAAAAATCCAACAGATGTCCGGGCGTCGCCAGGTAACCTGTCCAACTCCTCCATCAGAACACGACAGAAATGCTGCAAGTATCCTGAAAATTAGAAAAGCTTTATTGTCGTTCAGAAAGCAATGGCAAACTACTGGACGTAAATTTGCCTAAATAAACCTCAACAGCTTTAAAAAAATGCTGGGGTTGGTTCTGCAACATCCTGTACAGGATACGCAACTACTTTTTTTTTCATTGTCTTGACAAGTGATAAATGTTACTTTATCCTAGGAAGCTGCGCTAGTATAACTGCTAGACACTCACCAGCCAGCTCAAATGTCTTGGGTTTGAACGTGCATTTTTTTTTTCAGAACTGACCTTGACTCCTTGGTCAACCCTGGCTAAAATTTGTACCAGGTAATGATCTGGGAAGTAAAGGTGACCAGAATAATGTTGACCACATCACTCACCAAGTGCCGTTGGTATAAAAACAAAATGAGTCTAGCAATACATAAATATTAGATTATCCTGACAATATATAAATTATAGATTATCCTGACAATAAATACATGTTAGATTTTCCTGACAATATATAAATGTCAGATTATCATGACAATACATAAATTTTAGATTATCCTGACCATGTTCAGGCCTTACAAACTCCAGTGGATCAGGCACAGTTACGATGGTATGGACATGTATGTAGAATGGGAGAAAACTGGTCACTATGGCTGGCTTTGGAGGCTAAGAACCAGGGAACCAGACCTCCAGGGGACCCACGGTCCGCTGGGAAGACAACATCCAACAGTCCCTGACTGACAGAGGAATGGAATGAAACAAATACAGAAAAAGAAAACTGCTGATAGAGAAGTCTGGCGATCTCACTGGCAAACCTCTACACTCCAAGGTAGAAGAGCAGCAGCTAAGTAAGTAGATTATTGTGACAAAATATAAACGCTACCTTAACCTGACAAAACATAAACGTAAGATCATTCTGACAATGAATAAAGTCAAATTTCCAAAACCGTATCTGAAAAATTAAGGCTCATTCAAATTTAGATCTTACTGAGCAAGATAAAAATGTTCTGGTGAAAGATTGTTAGATTGGTCAATGAAAAATAAGAACAGAATTAACCAAACAAAATAAACAAATACATTTCTTTATCATCACTCCTCTGTGAAGAATAGTTAGTTTTTCCAGGTCAAGCCAGTGTGCTGGGAAACGAACAGGTAGACAGACTCGCTGGTTCTGCACCACCTGGTGGTGAAGATGCAGGCAAATCTAGATGTTGTAAAGGAGCTCTTTTGGGAGCAAGTCAACAGTACACAGGCACAAATAGATCATCACAGTTTGAGGAAAATGGTGCTGTAGGGTGATCAGGGAAGCTGACTAACCCAAGCGAAAGGTGAGATGGATATACAATCCGACTGTTACTGGTGCCAGTCGAATTGGAACTCTGCACTTGCTGCTGAAGATGGGGATAAAGCGCTTATGGGAATGTCCCAACAGCTGTGATGTTGAATCTTAATTTGCTTTATTTTAACCTTGGGGACCTAAACCCCCAGGGGACTGATCTGTCAAGTTTCATCTAAAATTCTCGAATTACGGTCCTTAGAATTCCTGGGCTTTAGTCTTGGGCAACACGTGTCTTTTCATTCAACTCTCTTCGTTCTACTGGTAGAAATCAATGTAGCTGCTTCAGGATACATCAGTTAAGTGATTTTGTGTATTCCTGTTGGTTCTGTTTGATTTATGTATGTCTGATGAAGGCTCTGTAGCCGCAATGTTCACTTTTCGTCTGTTTGTTATATTGTGAAGCTCACTCATCTACTTTTCATGTAGTTTTATTTCTTTCCATGACTCCTAATTAACCATCCCTCTGTGAAGAGAATGTGTCAAACCTAATGATGTGCTTAACTCATTCAGTACCAAGTAACTCACCCTGCACTGGTTAGCTTCAATCAACATATTAGTGAACAGCAAACTAAAATACAAGGTTATTCAAAATATATTTCCTTGAATATAAATTACATAATAATAATATACACACAAGAGAAAGGGGTTTAGGGTATTTGCAACTTTCTTTTCAAGAGCCATATCTCAGTTGCCTCTTAACTCTTCTTAATTTGTCTGCTCACATTCCAAGATTCACTGCCATACAACAGAACAGGCATGTACTGTCATAGATAAATCAAACAAAAAATGTACATAAACAACAAAACTTAAGGGAATGAAAGGCTACCTGTTTCCACTGCATTGAAAGATACATCCAACAAAAACAGGTAGACTGCAGGCTGGGGTGGTCTCAACTGTGTGGAAGATAACAATAATGACTTGATTAATCAAGATTTCTGAGCTGTATAAGATACTGACTTGGTTAAAGTGAACATTTTTTTAACTTTGTGAAAGATACTGAACTGGTTAAAGGTAAGATTTCTGAGCTATGGGAAAGATATCAATACTGATTCCCATGTACCCCCCCCCCCCCCCCCCCCCCCCCCCCCGGTTTCAGAACATAACACTATTGTCTGGAAAGATCACTCACCAACACATACTGTATGTGTGCGTGCGTGTGTGCATACGCATGTGTGAATGACAATATATATATGTAAGTGGTGTGTGTGTATGTATGTGTGAGCGAGTGTGTGTGTGCGGTGTGTGTGATCAATGTTCAACATTCTTTTCTTGAACACAAAGATTCTTTTCACTTCTATTATGTATTGTTTCTCAACAATTCTTCTTATTCCTATTCTTTTGCATGTCTGTTCTTTTTAATCTCACCTATTGACTATTAAAGTATTTTCACTTCTTTCTGTGGTGCCGACATTTTGACTGCTTTATTTGTTGATAAAGACTATGGACAAAACGTATGACTGTATCTATGCCTGTCTTTCCTATCCTGCTACTGACCTTCATGGTCCTATTTTGTGATGATCACTTGGTTTACAGCATCAGCTTGTCTTACATTAACATCCAAACGAAACAGATACTATAAACTATATAGCAGCAAGAAAGGAATAACAAGCAAATGATAACTTTATTTACCATGTATTCTGAGGGAGCAATAAATTCAATTGTTGCTGACTTCACTTCTGGCCTTCTCTGAGGGTCGCCATATGTCTTGCTGACTGGGTCAAATGAGAACTCTTCTGGCACTGGAGGAAAAGAGTTGTATAATCAGATTACATACCCTATATTAGTCTTAGTGACTTGTAAGCAGTGTGTGATCAAGCTGATTGTCAAGCTGAGAACAGATTAGAAAAATGTTTGCACATGAGAATATATATAGCATGTAGATATCATATGTAATGTTTGACAGTGCTGTTTTCATCTTCTTTTTTTTTTTTGCGCTCGAAAGTTATAAACTCCAGCATAAAGAGCTTGTTGTTCGTCCATTTCTGGACACATGACAAGCCAGACGTGGTCAAGGTCCTTTGGTAACAAACAACTGAATCAGTAGAGAAAGAAGATTGTTATGGCCTGGAGAGAATGAGACACCTGGGTGTAACCAGAGGGTCTGGCCGGCTCACTACACTCAGAAGAAGGACAAGATGGATATTCAACTAGACTGTGACCGGTACCATCAGTTTTGGAACTCTGCGCTGGCTGCTAAAGATGGGTACAGAGCACGAATGGGAATGCCGAGAGTGCTGTGATGTCAATTCTTGACTCAACTCAACTCAGCTTGTTGTAGTAGTATGCAATTATCTATCGAGACACAGTGAAATATGCCAGGCAATAAACTGGGCAATCAATTGTTTGTGTCTTCTATTTTCAAATTTACAACGGAGAAACATTGCTTTGATTCTAATTCATTTATTTACTTCTCTCTTTTGTCTGACCTCTCGTGCAGAGAAGAGGCAGATACACTCTTAGTTATTAATGAAAAGTGAGCATTGTCATCACATAATTCTGGGCAAATCGATAGGTTCTCCGATCTTCGAACCAGTAGCTAAACAAGCACAAAGTGGACTGATAATGTCTGTTATGCGTCTCTAATGATGCCATTGTAGAAATTTTCCTGAATGGTCCTGAACTTGAGTTTTGCATTCACATCCATTTTACAGATCTGGCTTATTTGTAAGCAGACTGCTGGCTCCGTGTCTCATGGGCAAATGCACTTCAAAGAAAACCCCTAATAAGTTGACAATACAATATGCTGGTTAGGGAGGCTGTGGGTTTACTCTTTTCAATAAGAAAATTCATAATCTGCTTAAAACACAACTAATTACTGGCGTCATTAAGGCTAACTCTTCATTGGTTTAGGCATATTGAGACAATGGAAGGTAACAGAGAGACAGGCACTGCGTACATATTGGAGTTAAAAGGGAGTAGACCATAAAGAATATTTTTTGCAATCTCTTCATTGTCAATTAAGACGATAATGAGAATTCTTAAAAGTTATATAGATCCTAAATTGATATTCGGATGTGAATCATGGACAGTTAGTAAATTAGAGAAAAGGTTTTTGGAAAGCTGCCGAGATGTGATTTTATAGACAAATGATATCAGAATAGCCTGGACAGATAAAAAGAACAATGAAAATGTCTTTAAAGAAACTGACTCATGAAAAGAACTGACTGCCCACATCAGAAAGAGACAATCTACATTCTTTGGTCATGTGATGAGAAGGAGAAAACTAAAGTACATCGTGGCGGTAGGAAAGTTGGGGTGGGGGCGCAGAGGGAGACAGAACAGATGCTGGACAGTTTCACATCATGGCATGGAAGATCATCTGTGTCATCAGTTGATGGAAAGTACACGAGAGGGAAGGTTGTGGATAGACATGACTACCAGCACCACATGGAATGGACTTTCAGAAGACCATGGGGCAGACAGCACAGTAGAGATAATATTCAGGCAGACTTATAAACACTTGAAGTCACCCAAAGGAAAGAGAAAGCCAATCACAGAGATGAATAGAGACAGATAGTAATGAACCTAAAAAAGATAAAGAAATATTCATTGTTGGGAAAACTTTCATTGATTAATTTTTACAGAAAATTGTATGGGTAGTCAGAATGCTAGATTTATGACACTGAAAAAAGAAGAAGAAGAAGATTAGGAAAGAGGAGGAGGAGGAGAGGAGAAGAAGAGAAGAAGAAAAGAAAAATAATTAGAAGAAACGTGTATGCAATGATTTGGGAAAACTACTGTATGCATTTTTGAAAGAAAACTGTATGGGCAATCAGAATGCACAATTTATGACAATAAAATATCTATAACCTGAGGAGGAAACATTACAAACTGAAGCATAATCACACTAAATCCGCTGTGCTGAAATATTAGTTGGGTACACCCTTATCTGTCTCACTGGACACACATGCCGTCATTGTAACTGACTCACAGAGCATGTTGAGAAAAGTGGAGACAGGCATGCTCCGTGCAGAGTGGCAAGCATCACTTCAAAGGTCCTGGGTAGTTGGCATCCTTTGGATATTTTCTCCAGGTCATGGCGGTGTGTTGGGAAATAAAAAAACAGATAGACTGGCCGGTCCTGCACCACTTGGTGGTGAACTGATGTATGACAAGCTGGATGTTGTGAGGGCCCTTTGGGAGCGAGTGAACAGTGCTGAGGAACAGATAGATCATTACGGTCTGAGAAGAATGGTGCTGCGAAGGAGTTACAAAGAGATTTGGCCAACTCAGGGGAAAGGCGAGACGGATATACAATCAGACAGTCACTGGTACCATCAGAATTTCAACTCTTTGCTTGCTGCTGAAGATAGGGACAGAGCGCTTATGGTGGTGTTTCGAGTGCTGTGATGTCGACATTCAACAACATTCAATTGCAGATGTAAAGTTCAGTCGAACCTTTGCAAACTCTTCTGATTTATGAATCTGGGCAGAGGAGGGGATCTCTGTAATATGCTCCCTGTAGTCACTCTGGTACTTGGCTGAGAGAAAAACTCATCATTTACTGAATACTGACCATGACCAGGTTGATCACTTGACTTGCTTTACCCTTCTTTTGCTTTAACCCTTAGAAGAGCAGATGGCCTGCTGTGTTAGGGTTCACAGCTAGGCTGCGATAAATGCACTTTTCAACCAACATATCCGACCCCAACGAACACCTAATCAGCTATCTTTCATGACATGCTTGTAAAGGGAGTGGAGGACAATGGATCTGTTCCTATTTCCCCCCCAAAATTAGGGCCCCTGAACCTACATGGGGATTCTCACCTTTCAGTCACATACACTTCTAGAGAAAACAGTCTAGGAAGTAATCAACGTTTGGCAGCCAATGAATGTCTTAATGCAGGGCTTTTCAACTAGCGGCTCATGGGCCACATCTGGCCCGGAGAGACCTAGCAAGCAGCCCTCAGATCAATGCCAGCTGTATGGTATTAATGATTTCTCTATGCTGGGGGTCAGGCCTCTGGGGCCCTTGATGATCCCTATTCTCAAACTTTGTATCATTCATTCATTCATTCAGTAGCATGTCCCTCGCGGAACCTCGCTGCCATAACAACCCTCCGGAAAACCTTCCTATCATGAGCAAGATGTCCTGCGTCTGATACACCCATCTGGAGATCATCTGCCACATCCTGCACCCATCTTCTCCTTGGCCTTCCTCTTCCTCTCTTCCCAGGCATATACCCCTCCATTACTGTTCTCTCTAGACCTCCATGACGTTTCAAGTGACCAAAATATTTCAATTTTCTTTGTTTTATTGTCTTTACTAGCCAACCCTCTTCAATATTCAGCTCTTGAAGTATGGATGCATTTGTTCTTTTCTTTACCCAAGATATTCTTAGAACCTGTCTGTAACATTTATATTCAAATGCATTTATGCGCTGTTCCGCTTGTTTAGTAAGTGTCCAGGTTTCACAGGCGTATGTTGCAGTGGGAAAGATGCATGCTCTTAAAAATCTGACCTTTGTAATTCTATCTGTACAATTCCATAATTTATTCAGTTGTTTTTAGTCTTTGAAGAGCAATTGATAGTCGCCGTTTAATTTCTTTCATTGTGTCCCCATTGTTGGTAACCAGTGACCCAAGATATTCGAAATTTTCCACCACTTCCAATCTTTCCTCATTAACATATATTTCCTTCTCCATGGCAGTTTTGTTTGTATGAATTATCTTTGTTTTTGCTGTGTTAAGAAATAAGTTATGATTTTCACTATTTCTTTGGAGTGAGGTTAATAAGTTTTCTAAACCATTTTGTGATGTTGATAGTAATACTGTATCATCAGCATAACGAATTTCTGGTATTTCATGACCACCGATGTTTAGGGCATCATATTGTTCCTTGTTTATATCATCTCTTACATTTCTCATTATATTTTCGGCGTACAGGTTGAACAAATACGGTGACAGCACACATCCCTGACGGACTCCTTGCTTGATGCCAAACCAGTCTGATGTCTCTCCATCTATTCTGACTGCTGCTTGTTGGTCTTGATAGAGCATTTTAATGAGCTGCACTATATGTGATGGAAAGCCCATATTCCTCATGATTTCCCAAAGCTTCTGATGTTGTACACAGTCAAATGCTTTTGAATAATCCACAAAACATAAGAACAGATTTACATTAAATTCTCTACACTTCTCTATTATTAAACGCATGTTGAATATATGATCTCTTGTTCCTCTTCCCTGTCTAAATCCAGCCTGAGCTACATTAATCTCTTCTTCCATTTTCTTTTGCAGTCTTCTCATTATAATTTTTAGTAGAATTTTACTTGCATGACTGATCAGGGCAATAGTTCGATAGTTTGTACATAATTTCAGGTCACCCTTTTTTGGTATTGGAATGAAGATAGTTCTCTTCCAGTCTTTTGGCCAAATACCATATTTCCATATCTTTTCACATAATGCATGATAGATTTTTATGCTTTCTTCTCCTCCCGCTTTAATCAATTCAGCTGGTATCTCATCACATCCAGGTGATTTACCATTTTTCAGGCTCCTTATTGCCCATGAAATTTCATCTAATGAAGGTTCAGGTTCTGCCTCTACTGTTACTGGTTCATGTATATCATTCATATCCTCACTGTCATTCATATCATACATTCCGCTGCAGTATTCCTGCCATCTTCCTAGAATTTGTCTAGATTCTGTTAAAGTATTTCCCAACTTGTCACAAATAACATTTAACTGAGGTTGAAAATTTCTTGTCAATAACTTCATTTCCTTGAACATTTCGTAATCTCTTCCATTTTTGTGATGCTGCTCTATTTTAATACAGCAATCTTGTACATACTGATTTTTATCCTTTCTTGTGTACTTTCTTATTTCTCGTGTTAAAAATTTATACTTCATCCTACTGTCATTGGTTTCTCCTTTCTTTTTCAGTTCCCTTCGTTGTTTTATTAGTTCTAACGTGTATGGTGTGATCCATGGTTTATGTTGCTTAGTCCTGGTGGGTATTAAGTCTTTAGCTGCTGTTATCAAGATATCCCTAGCTTGTACCGCCAGTTCATCAGGTGTCATTTCCTCTTGTACAGACATCAAGACCTCAAAACGGTTCTTCACTTCTACGTTGTATGCATCTGGTATTTTTGTGAGATCAAATCGAAATGGCCTTGGTCCTCGGGTAAGCTTTTTGAGTTTTAATTTCAGATCTGCTTCTAGTAACTGATGATCTGTATCGCAATCTGCACTTCGCAGGGTTTTTGCAGATGTTATGCTCGATCTCCATCTTCTTTGTATTAAAATGTAATCTATCTGATTTTTGGTAACACCGTCAGGGGATGTCCATGTGAAAAGCCTTCTAGGGTGTTGTTTATAAAGTGTGTTAGCTATTGTTAATTCATTTTCTATGCAAAATTCAATCAATTTTTCTCCTGTTTCATTTCTAATACCCAATCCAAATTTTCCTAAAACGTGTCTCTCATTTTCAGCTCTGCCTGTACCTACTTTAGCATTAAAATCTCCCATTATTATTATTATATCATTCTGATTAATTTTATTTAATGTGTCTTGCAGTATGGCATAAAAATCTTCAATTTCGCCCTCCTCTGCTGTTGAAGTTGGTGCATATACCTGCATGAAAGTTATGTTTTTTGGACGGCCTTTAAGTCTGATAGTTAGGATTCTATCACTAACTGGATTATATCCCATAATAGCTTTTGCTGTTGTTTTATCTAAACAAAATGCCACTCCGCTCTGGCCTCTTACATCTCTACCAGAATATACGAAAAAGCTTCCATATTCATTGATAAAATGTCCCTTGCCACTCCAACGATGTTCACAAATTCCTAAGATCTGAATATTTAATCTTTCAATCTCATCACATACTACTTTAAGCTTTCCTTCATACAGACTTCTCACATTCCACGTTCCTATTCGCATTCTGTTTCTTAGTCTGACACAGTGGATTTCCTTGGCAACACAGTCAGGATTAACTCCGTCATCACGATTACTAGTACTGACCCCTGTATCACACTCTTCCCCAGTGTTATCTGATCTGCCTGGCCTGGGGGTCTCGCCACCAGATCTCTTCTGTGTTATGTTTTCTTTCATGATTGTTATGGGTTCTTGGCAAAATTTGCAGAAGGTAGTTTGCCGTTGCTTTCCTCCTGAGCAGTGACTATACTAGTCGGTGGCCATAGCCATTGTCTCTACTGATGAGATCATCTGCCTATCGCCGCAGAGTGCAGACCATAACCAACAATACCTGTCGGCTGCTCTTACACTCCATCCACCACCTGCTTCCATGGCTTCACGTAACCCTGATTGGGGGGCTAAACGGGTACTCCACCTTGCCCAAGGGTGTCCCGTAGACTAGCGGAGGAAAGGAGGCGTCTTACTTCTCCTTTGATAGGGGATACCCCTACCCCGCTAACTTTGTATCACCTGAGTAAATTTAGTTGAATAGCCCTGTGCTAATAAAAATGTCTCAGTTTTAGTCTTGTCCAGAATGGTGGATATGTTTGCACAGCAGAACGAACACAGAACGGGCATGTCAATCATATTACGCATGTGCAGTTACTAAGGAGAAGATCCGAGCACCTATGGATCTGTCTGGAGTGCTATGATGAAACTCTTTCCTGGTCACTAGTTTTGTGTAGTTTAAAAAGAAAATTACTTTCCACAAATCAAGTCTGTATGTAGGAAGAATTAAAAACATAGGTCTTATCTGTAAGTAGGTCTTATTTGTAAGTAACAATGTGAACATTTAATGTTATCACCAACATTCATTGTTTCCAATGTTTAACATTCACTGCTTCCAATTCATGAAAAACGCGACGAACAAAATGTGACATTCTATGTGTCACTGGTCGGTAATCAGGAAAAACTAGACAAATATAATGTGACATTCTATGTACCACTGGTCAGTAATCAGGAAAAACTCGACAAATATAATGTGACATTCTATGTATCACTGGTCGGTAATCAGGAAAAACTCGACCAATATCATGTGACATTCTATCTATCACTGGTCGGTAATCAGGAAAAAACTTACAATCATTTGTCCTGAAGCATAAGTTGCATTTCCACTTTCTCTGATCAATAAATGTCACATAAGGATTAATGTACGACCTACAGGCTCGACATCTGACAATCACACTGGACTGGATGACAGGCAAATTCTAAGGAAAAAAAAACACAGTAGGAAACAGGATTATATAGCAGTTTTTATTTTTACTGAGATCATTATGGATCATTGCTGGAGTTTTGGAGTTTGTGCTTTGTTTGATGCTTTCAGCAACCGCTAGCCATTCTTTGGAAAGAGACTGAGCCAAATGGGATAAAACCAATGCCATAAAGTAAATCCTCTTGCTTGTAACCCTATCGCCCGAGAAGGCTAAATCTAGTCACTTCTGGTTGTGCTGTACGACTCAGTGTTATCAGAGTGTCCATGGTTACTTCTGCTGCTGAGACAACATCCAGGTGTCTGAAACAGTACTAAAGCTCAGGATGTTGGTTTAACATACCACAATAAAGGAGAAAAATTGCGGGACACTTTGATAGTGGAAATATAAGTATATGATAATGTTGTTGTCAATGTGTAGTTAGACCTTCAGCGATTCTGGTGTCCTCGCAATTCAGGTGGTAAATACACAGATGTTGACGAGACACCAGTCTGCTGATCTGTTACTTTACTGTGGTTTCGACAACAGTATTGTCTAGTTGCTGTCCTCTGTTCTCACTCGTCATGTATGGATCGACTGTCAATACAGTTACATCAAACGCACATTGGATTCAGAACGTGGTTACCTTGCATTCCCTGCATTCCATTCATGCGAAGGTCTTGCATCTCCAACACAAGGCCACAGCCATTCGTCATCAGGCTTTCTTCACTTCGTTAGCAGTTATACTTCATGGCAGTCATACATCTCACAGAAATCAACCTTCCACTCCGGCTGTCAAACACCGATTCTATCTTCTTTGTCACCTTCAAATCCTTGTTCTCATCCCACGAGTTTCGGCTTGCAATCGTTCACAGGGATTTGTGAGCGTACCTTTCCCAGGTTCCTTGCTTGACTGACCCTTGACCCTAACTCATCATATTGGGGCACCCTTTGGGATTCCTGGGAAGTCTCCCTCAATACACAATACTTAAAGACTACTGCCCAACGTGTACAAAAAGACTTGCAAACTATATTTCTCTTACGGTCTATAACACAACAACAGTACTGAAACAATCTAGGCATAATCCTTATGCATATCTGTTGCCAACAGAAACTTAAATTAAAGTAGCTTAAACTGACCTCTCTTGTTAGTTGGGTCAATCCATGTTTAAGCATGAGAGTTGCGGATTTTATGTGTAGCTCATAATAAAAGTCAAGTGTCCATTGCAAAACTAACTTATATGACAAAGTGATAGGCATTTTCTCTCCCCTTTCTCCCCCAATGGAGCACAAGCCCTCAAACACCTTGGGACAAGTGGTCCTATCCTCTGCCAATGCATGCAGCTCATCCCACGTCTTTCTTGCGAGCAGCTCATCCCATGTCCTTCACATCCTTTGAACTTTACTCTGTAGTTCAATTCTCAATGTATTTTTTGGTCTGCCTTTATTCCTTTGACCCTGTGGGTTCCATCTAGTATGCTTTTTAATTTAAATACCAAGGTAATTTTAATCAATGTCAACCACTCACACACAGAGGTCTGCAGGTCTATGACATGTGTCATGATTTAAATACTGAAATACTTTGGCTATAATTAACTGTTATAAAGTGAGGGTCTCCATGGTGAAGTGGTCAAACCATTTGCCTTGTGCTCTGAAGGTCTGTGGGTTTGTTTCATAGCTATGTTGTCGGGTTCATGAGTGCAAATTCTGACAGAGACCCCATGGGATTATCAGAGGAGCTAGTGTTTGTGCACTGTGTGATGCTCTCAGCAAGCAGCTAGTGGATCTGTAGAAAGAGAGAGAGAGAGACCAAGCCGTATGGGATAAAACCGGGTCAATGACGCCGATCCTCTCAACTTTAACCTTTAATTTTTTACAAAAGATGAAATGAAGGCCGATCAGCTTGAACACTAAAGAAACACTGGGGTTGAAAATGAATGGAAAGGGAAACTGGCAAAACACATGACAGAGCTTCTGGCGGGCCCGGATGAAAGTGACCTTTTTGCAGTTAACCTGCTCTATGAGGGCTTTTCCACATTCAGTGTCTTGGTTGACCGATGTGCTCATTATTCAGTTATGTATAACTCATTCACAAACTTAATCAGTGTTCCATAATTTAAAATCATTAGTGCAACAGTGTTAGTTCAGTTTCCATTTATACAAGATCAGAAATGACATGTCAGTTAAGTACATTTTCGTTTTACTTACCGACAAATCTCTAAAAGGATGAATCAGAACTCCTAGAGGCAATTTGGATTTACCAAGTAATGAAGATGTTTTCGGTACAGCATTCAAGGTACATCTAAATACACTGTAAACATATGGGAGAAAATAGGAGTTCATGAACTAAAGACTTCAATGAGACAATTATGAATAGATAAACTATAGATTTTCTGTAATAATGGATGACCAGCAACAACATGAAGTTCTGACTGGCAAAAACATGATGATCTGACCAGCAACAATATGATGATCTTGCCTGCAACAATATGATACCCCCGTGAAAGTAATGCATGTACGCTTTACTCCTTGTGGCTAAGAACTTGCTAGGCATCTCCTACGAGAACACAGGGCTCTCATGCAGGTGATCCAGGTTTGTATCCTCGGAAGGCTGGGGATGTTTTTCGACTATCCTCCAAATAACGGCCACATATTATGACGCCAAAAAACACACCCTGACAGAGCCACATTGTGTTGTGGGAACACTGTGTGGAAGTACAAGACTTTCATGTGATTAATCCATCTTCTCCACAGACTCTCTCTTGCTCTTTGATTAAGACCCAAAAATGATTCAAGTATTGCAAAGAAAAAACTCATCATGTAAAACATAACTGCTAGCTAGCAATCTAAAAGACCTGTTCACACAGCCTCAGACAAATGGACATATGGTGCTAGTCCTATTTTTTTATACACCAATCGGCACTCAGTGGGTGAAGCAGTCAAATTCTTCTATTTTGTGTGTCTAAATGACATAAATAAATGTGCTGGGCCAGTTTATGATGTAGTATACACCCTTTCGGCCAACATATCCAACTTCTTTGGGTATTAGTTTCATGGTCATTGCACAGCCCCAAATGTGTGGTCTTTACCTCCTAATCCACTGGTGTTGCCGATATAACAACCTAGGTGTAAACCACAAATAAAATGTACCAAACGCTTTTTAAGGGTGATCACACACAAACACACGCAAAAAAGAAAGTTGTCTGAATTTTTTTTAACAAACACAGATGCTGTTCAACTCACTCTGGGTCACAATAAACATTCTTAAATTGTGGTGGAAGGGTAGGCTTTGCTGTCTCGATACCATCAGGGGGCATCAGCTGTCTCTCATTTAACAAATTCAACACTTTCTGTGAATCCTGTAACAATGGTATTAAAAAAACAATGTGATAAATATAATATTACAGCTAATATAACTGTTAAATTTTTTACACTAGGCTCCTAGCTAGATAACATCTTGTCTCAGAAAGTGAAATATTTTTGGCCATTTGAAGCGCCATGACACTAGAAAGATTAGTAGCAAAAGGCATGGTACTAGGAAAGAGGCACAGGGGCAGACTAGTATGAAGATGGGCACAGGATAAAAGTGACACTTTGGGTAGAAAAGTGCATGAGTTGGGAATGCTGGCCAGAGTTCAAGGTTCTTTCAGGCTGGTTGTGATGACAGCAACATACAGGCCTAGCAACCTTCCCATAGAGGCCTAGCAACCTTCCCATAGAGGCCTAGCAACCGGCTCATAGAGGGTTAGCCCATAGAAGCCTAGCTACTGACCCATAGAATGCTAGCAACTGGCCCATACAGGCCTAGCAACCTTCCCATAGAAGCCTAGCAACCTTCCTATAGAGGCCTAGCAACCGGCCCACAGAGGCCTAGCAACCGACCCAAAGAGGCCTAGCAACCTTCCCATAGAGGCCTAGCAACCGGCCCATACAGGCCTATAAACTGGCCCATAGAGGCCTAGCTACTGACCCATAGAATCCTAGCAACTGGTCCACGGATCACTGCCAAGTGTGTTGAATTAAAGATGTTTCTATACTGGGACCCTCTGGCCTGTGATGATATTCATTTTCAACAGTTAAAGTAGACTTAGTGAACGGTTAGAACGCTTGACTCTCAAGTGGGGAAACCCAGGTTTGAATCCTCGGTAAGGCTGGGATTCTTTCTGCAAATAAAATCCTCACTTGCACAGTCGAGGCGACAGCACTAGCCACACCACCGTAAATCCTCAGGCTCAAAGACCCCCCCCCCCCCCCCCCCATCACCGCCTACTTCCTACACCGAAAAGTAGTAAAATAAAGGCAGTAATTGGCAGTTTTTTTTAAAAGTAGACTTAGTTTAATAACACTGAATTAGAAGGTGATGGATACATCCAAGTTTTCACTTGTGCCACAACAGAGAAGTAAAATATTGTCCAGCTATAACCAAACATGATGCCCGTGTGTTCTGCAAGAAATTTAGAAAATTGTGTGCCGTCTCCACAATGGATGTTGGCTACTGGGTACCCATTGCTGTCTTTAAGAATATTTCATGGAAGGCCCCAATCTTGGAGCGGCTGGTCAAACAGTTAGGAATGTTAGGCTCTTATCTGGGAGATCCAGGTTCGAATCACTGGTTAGGGTGTAGAATTTTTTGGGGGTTTGAGGCAAAAGAAACATTCCAAACTGCACAATCCATGGTGACAGCACTAACCATGCGACCCTAAATCCTCAGGTTTAAAGACCCCCCCCCCCCCCCCTTACGGCCTACACCACCAAAGTGGTAAATACTGGCAGTAATGGTAGTTTTAAAATGGCCTTAGTCCCTTTCCATGTGCAACCTTTGTTCAACTGAAGAAATCAAACCCCAGCACTTCAGGATCATGAAACAGTTAATCATCTCTTCACAAAACCTCTAAGGCACCGCATCACAAGTGGATGCTATGAGATAAGCAAAGAAAAATAACCCTAACCAAGCATGTCAAAAGAGACTACTAAGGAAAGGTTAGTACAAACCTAGCTAGTTGATCTCACAGATCCTTGTGTGACTGACTTCCAGGGCTACATTTTGGGAATAAGGAAATAAACTCCTAAAGTCAGAGGCAGATGAACAACAAGAACTATCCTCCTAAAGTCCAGAAGCAGATGAACAACAAGAACTATCCTCCATAAGTCCAGAAGCAGAAGAACAACAAGAACTATCCTCCATAAGTCCAGAAGCAGATGAACAACCAGAACTATCCTCTGAAAGTACAGAAGCAGATGAACAACAAGAACTATCCTCCTAAATTCCAGAAGCAGATGAACAACCAGAACTATCCTCCTAAAGACCAGAAGCAGATGAACAACAAGAACTATCCTCCATAAGTCCAGAAGCAGAAGAACAACAAGAACTATCCTCCATAAGTCCAGAAGCAGATGAACAACCAGAACTATCCTCTGAAAGTACAGAAGCAGATGAACAACAAGAACTATCCTCCTAAAGACCAGAAGCAGACGAACAACAAGAACTATCCTCCTAAAGACCAGAAGCAGATGAACAACCAGAACTATCCTCTGAAAGTACAGAAGCAGATGAACAACAAGAACTATCCTCATAAAGTCCAGAAGCAGATGAACAACAAGAACTATCCTCCTAAAGACCAGAAGCAGATGAACAACCAGAACTATCCTCTGAAAGTACAGAAGCAGATGAACAACCAGAACTATCCTTCTAAAGTCCAGAAGTAGATGAACAACCAGTCCTGAAGTCCAGAGGTAGACGAAAAACCATAACTATCTTCCTAAAGTCCAGAACCTGATGAACAATAAGAACTATCCCCCTAAAGTACAGAAGCAGATGAACAACAGTCCAGAGGCAGACGAACAACTAGAATTATCCTACTAAAGTCCAGAGGAAGACGAACAACCAGTCCTAAAGTCCAGAAGCAGATTAACAACCAGAACTAATCTCCTAAAGTCCAGAGGCAGATTAACAACCAGAACTATCCTCCTAAAGTCCAGAGGCAGATGAACAACCAGTCCTAAAGTCCAGAGGCAGATTAACAACCAGAACTAATCTCCTAAAGTCCAGAGGCAGATTAACAACCAGAACTATCCTCCTAAAGTCCAGAGGCAGATGAACAACCAGTCCTAAAGTCCAGAGGCAGATTAACAACCAGAACTAATCTCCTAAAGTCCAGAGGCAGATGAACAACCAGTCCTAAAGTCCAGAAGCAGATTAACAACCAGAACTATCCTCCTAAAGTGCAGAGTCTCAGTCACTACTTCAAACCTTTCAATCTCAGACGGTCTCTTCTTTAAACCTTTCAATCTCAGACAGTATCTACTTCAAACCTTTCAATCTCAGATGGTGGCTGCTTGAAACCATTCATCTCAGACAGTCATTACTTGAAAACCTATCAATCTCAGGCAGTCATATTTGAAACCTTTCATTTTAATCTTTTCAATCTCAAAAGTCATTACCTCACATCTTTAAATTTCAAACAATCATTGCTTCAAACTGTTCAATCTTCCCCAGTTATTACTTTAACTCTTTTCTGACCCAGAGTTGTATTATTTGAAAACCATATGGAAGAGTAAAAGTTTACCTGTAATCAGGAATGTTCACAACAAAGTAATAAGTAATAAACACTCACATGAATATTCATTTGGCTAAAGTTCTGTGACATACTGGCAGTGCTGGGGTAAGCTGGCGCTCCAAACGGCATGGGACCAGCTGGATGGGTTGGATAAGGACCTTGTGTGGCAGAATTCATGCCAGGTTGAGCCTATTAAAGAATACCAATGAAAATTACACCAGTGTGTTGGGAAATGAACAGAGGGATAGACTGGCTGACTGCACAATTTGGTGGAATACTGATGTATGATGAGGCAGACGTGGTTAGAAACCTTGTGGGAGAGCGTGTACAGTTCAGAGGAGTAGATGGATCACCACAGTCTGGTGAGATTGATGCAGCGGGGAGTGATGAGGGGTTCTGGCTGATGCTCGAGGCTCAGAGGAAAGGCAAGACGGACATTTAATCAGAATGCTACTGGCACCATTAGTAGAGGAACTCTGCACTCGCTGCTGAAGATGGGGACAGAGCGCTTATGGGAATGCCCTGAAAGCTGTGATGTTGGTTCTTGAATCAACTCAATCAATGCCAGTCAAACAATACAAGACTATGCATAAATATCTGCTGGTACTAAATTACAATTGAATAAATCTTGTTTCTTACATCTGTCAGAGTGACGTAACTGCATCACACCTATTTACAACATAGCTGCGATATTTGCCCCTTTTGGCCGACACTGTATCATTCTTTCCAGATGTGGATGTTCTGACTTTTCTTCTGCTGTACTGTTTACTTGATCCCAAAGAGTATTCACCCCATCCACTTTTCAATAAAGTAGCTCACTATCCATAGGGACAGCAGCAGCGAACCTATTAACTGCTCATTTCTATACACACACATCTGCATTTTCTGTACACTATAGTATGAAAAACCAATGGTGCTTTATTAATATCCTACTTCAGATGACTTCACAGGACAGTCCAACATTTTAGAGGGTGGTAAGACTGGGCTTCCCAGCTTTCTGATGCTTTTAACGACCCCAAAACATCTAGAACTGTCCCTAACCCCAACCCACCTACGTCCCACGAGCGAGTGCAGCCTAGGTCCCATGACTGCATGCAGCCTAGGACCCACGACTGCATGCATCTTATCTACCACCCCCTGAAATATTAGACTCTCCCGTGACCTGTGGATTTCCCTTATTTGGGGTAGGATATTATTAAAGCACCAAACCAATTATATAAGTACCAACATTAAAATGAAATAAAAAATATTCTGTCAACAGGAAGAAATATGCATAACTTAAATTTAACGGTAAAGTACACAGGTATTCAATAGGCATCTAAGTTTAAATATCTGGGAACAAAATTAACACAAGATGGCAAACTGAATGAAGAAATTAACATCTGATGCAGTGAAGCAAACCAAGTATTCAGACAGCCATCAGCCCTCTTAGAGCATGACAGTCCCAATCAGGACAAAGAGATACCTCATACACAACATATTCATTCCCATCCTATGCTACCAGTGCCAGATATGGTCACCCACAACAAACAAACAAAATAAAATTTGTAACCATGGAAATGAGAAAGGCTGCAGGAATGTAGGAAGTTCCAAAATGGGAAGACTTCTGTGACAAACTGTTCATGACTGGGTCAGGCACACCGAGTAGTGATCCTAGAGTCGATTGCAGCCATTTTGAAAACTCCCTACTCCAGTCATTCACTTGCTAGACTGAGAGAGGCATGCCTGACTTGACCATTCGCCAATGAATTTCAAAAAGTTTTACTCTTTCACTGATCAAAAAAAAAAAAAAAAAGAATGTT